AATAGCCTGTAACAATAGTAGAACGAATATGATTAAGTATTGAGTTTTTTAGAAACAAATCAAATACAGTTATTGGATAAGATTCACCTTTAATAATCTCTCAAAGGGAAAGAAAGTGAGCAATGCAAAAATCTGCCGTGATGTTATTTTCCAGAATGAGAACGGTTATAATTTTTGTTTCCTGTCAGCGTTCGATCCCTTTGGGACCGGTCCGATGCCCAAGCCTCAGGACGTGATGGGCTCGTTCCTCGGACCAGGTAACGTGGGGCAGTCAGACCCCTTCCTGCATGCTGCTCGCTCTCCATCTCCCACCCTGCAGCCCACAGGCTTGGGTAAGGCATGCTTCTGCTGCTCTGTGATAAAGACATTTCAGAGAATCTGCCCCAGATCTGGGTAAGACGTGTTTTTACAGAGTCTGTGGCTGCACCTTAGCAGTGTGCATTGTGATTAATGGCATCCAAACCTGGCTTTCTTTGTCCAGATTAATTTGATTGCACTTTGTTTTTACCCTTTTTTAAATCTGTTTTTTGCTTTACATACTGCTGTATGTTCGATCATGAGTTTGCATGATGTGTAATGTGTATTTGCAGCATCTGTAATTGTTACTGTATAGAAACTCAACTGACCTGATACAGACGTGAGTCAGTCATTAATCATTTCTCTTAATTCATCAACCTGAAGCTATTGTTTTATCTTTAAGTAGGACAGGACCACTCTGCTCCTTCAGGTTTAGACTTCTCTTTATATTCAACCCCTTCACCTAGTGAGTGAGGTGTATCACAGTTTCAAGAACTAATCTAGATCCATTTAGACAGAATCCCTAATAATATCTCCCCAAAGACTGAAACCTGTTATTATTATTTTCTCTGGCTGTGTGGGTTCATGTCTGTCATTTAATGTGAGTGTGACAAACCTGTTTGTGCTTGAATAGGCCGGAGTTCCCCCGTTCCACCTGCCACCCCAACCGTCAACATTCAGCAGCAAAACGCCAAGGGAGGATGGGACTGGAACAGACCGGCCACCACAACCCCAGGTGCTTTGACCACACAGACGCACGTTAATACACAAAAACATGTGCAGCGTTGATGTTAAATCATTTAATCTGGGGAAGCTGATGAAACTAATTGTGGTTTATGTTATGTATCATTTCTGCATTACCCTTTTATTCATGCAGGAGGAGGCTTCAGTGTGGGCAGCCGGTCAGCTACTACCAGCCCCACAGGCTCAGTGCACAGCACCCCCACCCACCAAACAAAGCCAAACACCCTGGACCCTTTCGCTGACATAGGCAACCTCGGGGGAAGCCTTGGAGGTCAGTGGCTGGAACGTTTCCCACATCTTCTTCTGTTTTGCCACCATCTTTCTGCTTTAATCTACATGTTCTTTATCTTCAGGAGGTTCTGGCTTCTCCAGCAAACCCACCACCCCGACTGGAACAACCCCCTCTTTCCCTCCCATGGGCTCCCCATCACGGCCTCCTCCGTCTCCCCAGCACGCAGGAGGGTGGCAGCCCCACGCAGGAGCCGGCTTCCCTTCTTGGCAGCCAGGTGCTACAGGCGGCGGAGGGTGGCAAGCTCAAGGACAGGGGCCGACCCCGCAGCCAAAGCCCAGCCCCAGCCACACCTCATTGCCTCACACGTCGCCTCAGAACCGACCCAACTACAATGTCAGCTTCTCTGCAATGGGAGGAGGCTCGCCCAGTGCGGGGGTTAAAGCACAGGCTGCCATGGGTGAGGAGAGGTTTCACTGTTGCCTGAAGTTTGTTAAATCTTTTTACTACTACAATATTTGACATATTGTGCAGTAATTCTTGATATTGATGTCTGATGATTTGTTGTAACTGAAAATTAGTGATAATGCAAAAAGAAAAATCTATGGCATTTCATCTACAATATGATGAATGAATTCAAATGGGCATATCTCAGTTCTCTCTTTGTGTTTGTTCCTCTCTCTTCCAGGTTCTAAGCCCAAGGCCTCAAACGCCAACTTTGATGACCTGCTGTCTGGCCAAGGCTTCGCAGGGGCCAAAGAGAAGAAAGGGCCCAGGACCATTGCAGAGATGAGGAAGGAGGAAATGGCCAAAGAGATGGACCCGGAGAAAATAAAGGCAGGGGCCTCAGAGTGTTGTCTGCCAACAGACTCAATAATGTTTGCTGATATTTGTTGCTTCAAAGTCTCTTAGAGAAATGGCACCGAGTCCAATGACTCTATTATCAGTACATCAGGGTAGGACTAGTGTTTGTTGTCTTTTTATCCAGTGAGGTACAAAAGAGACAATTCACAGAAAGTAGGATATTGTTCTCAAAACCTTTGGCTGTTAAAGCGCGTCTGTTCAATCCAGAATTAATTAGGAGGACGATGTAGGTCTTCCTCTAATTACTCATTGAAAACCATTTCACCAGAGCCAAAAGGACATGAAAGCGTTTCTTCTAATAATTGTTCCAATACCAGCAGCTAATGGCTTCCCCTTCTCGTCATCCCCTGTTTGTGACCCAGATTCTGGACTGGATCGAGGGGAAGGAGCGCAACATCCGTGCCCTTCTGTCCACCATGCACACCGTGCTGTGGGAGGGGGAAACACGCTGGAAGCCGGTGGGCATGGCCGACCTGGTCACTCCGGAGCAGGTCAAGAAGGTCTACCGCAAAGCAGTCCTGGTCGTCCACCCAGATAAGGTGAGAGGGGGGGGTGGGACCCAGAACTAAAAAGAAAAGGTCAGGATCTGTTTGCAGACAGGGAAAAATCAAGACCTCTCTCCAAAAGGGAGGGTACAATCTAAATATATCACAGCTCATCAGCTGAGAACTTTACTTAAAGCAGCTTTAATCAATATTTTTACACTTTCTTCACAACACAGGTCAGTTCTTTGAAAAAACATTTATTGCTCAGCTTGTTTCTGATACATCTCCATCTTAGTCATCCCATCATTGAAGTACATTTATGAATGAAAACAAAAATATCTCGATACAATACACTGCATAAAGATAACTCACATTTTGCGATCCAGCATCTTTTAAAAAATATATATGTATATATAAGGTGATAATACCTCATTGTCATGTTCACAGCTTGTTTTTGCTGCCGTCAAGTGGCCAGAAACTGTCAACATAAGCAACATCCCCACGACTGTCATCAGATACTGATTCGGCTCTTGCTGAATCCTGATTGGTGCACTGAAGTGTCTTTCCTAAAAACAAGCCACTGGCCTATGAGTGGAGGACAGATTCAACAGAGACCTTGAAAAAAACGCTTCAGCAGAAAAATGTGTTCATGTAGGATTCAGTATCTTTATTATTCCAGCAAAAACAACATCCAGTCAAACCACATTATAACAATAAACACATCGACAAATCAAAAAAACATCACAATGAGTCATTGTAAAGGGATGAGTGATATTTCTTCGTCTTGGCTGACAGAACCAGAGCGAAGCAACAAAAAACTGCAGACATATCCTCGTGACATTCTGTGGAGGGACTGGATGTGAGAACGCAAATGTCAGTGAGAGGAGAGTTCCTCTGAACTGCCTCCTGGTAAGAACTCTGTAAGTCCATGTGAGCCACTGGGCACTAAAATGACACAAAATGAAAATAACAAAACAAAAGAATAAAAATATCTGAAGAGGAAGGAGCGGTGCCATATGTGTAGAAGACACTGATCTCAAGAGAGTTTTGGTGATAAGAGCAAATGCTGGTGTTGATATGCTGAAAACAAAAATGTGATCTCCACAGTGGACTTTAACACTTCATCCTGCAGGTTTTTGTGAACATGAAAGTCCAGATTCCCATTCTCCAGAATTCATGCCTAAAAAATGGCTTAAATCCCACATAAGGGCAAGGAATTAATAAAAAGTTTATATTTTTTAACTTTGCACTAACCGAACAGGAACCGTTTCACACATGATATAAACAATGACAACATTACTATGACAACCGCCAAAATAATCACAACTTGGATGATGTGATGACTCACTGATCCAAGCATAGAGCTGATCCAGTCGGATGGAGAGCTGCTGTCCTGGTGAACAGCGTTGGCAGTGTCATGAAGGTGATTGACTATGTCCCTGATCGTAGCGTTGTAATCAGGAACGAAGGTGCAACACTCGGAGCCGATGACGGCGCAAGTTCCTCCCTGAACTGCTAAAAGAAAATCCAAAGCTGCTCTGTTCTGCAAAGCCACAAGTCGAACAGAGGCGAGTTCGCTCGACAGGAGCATGAGGGCCCTACCGGTTTCATTAGCGATAAACTCTATGGCATGAGAAAGGTCGGCAATTTGATCCAACGCAGACATGACCCCGTAAAAAGGAAGAAGGGGGCCGAGTATGTTCTTGAAAGGCGACTGGTGATGGGTCCCAAAGATGTCTGACAATCCGCGCCGTGTTCGATTAACAAGAGGTTTCTGGGGTAGAGAGTGAGCCACTCTCATAGCCGGGACAACGTACGCCAGGCCGCAGCGTCCCCTGTAATCCACAGGAAGATACGGGTACCCCAGGTTTCCACACACCCAGTACATTCCTTCGGGAGAGGAGATGGAGCAGCTCGCTGTGCGGTGAGCCAAAGCATTGAGGCGACCGCGGCCTGCTGCCTCCAAACAATGCTCGGGTGCAGAATCCAGCGGTTTAAAGTCAAAACTGGTTTGCTTTGGGTCCCATTTAAAAGTGCGGAGACAGTGCGATTCTCCCACTGGGCTCTCGCCGTCATTCTCAAGGCACCAAGGGAACGGCTGGGGGACGACGAGTACGGGAACAGGCTTTGGGGTTTGCACACACCTCTGGCAGTTGATGTGTCCTCCAGAGCAGTTTAGAGGTCTCATTTTGGAGAGTCGTGGACAATCAGGGTGAGAGTAAGACTGAGACAAGGGAATGTGCATCAGGTGGCAGGTGTCGCAGTCGGATGCAGGCAAGGCCATAAGGGGTAAACCCTCTCCAGCTGTGTAAGGCATCAGACCGCACACATAGCAGCTGGAATTGGGGTGTATGTGGTTGGCTACTTGCCACGCCATCGTCATAAAAATGTTGATGTCGTCCACTCTGACGTCCTGGGCTTTCCTGACCTTTGGAGCCGCCATGACGGACGCCACCAGGACCAGGAGTTGTAGGACAGGGAGCATTCTCACAATGGAAGTGATGAAATCCCAGAGATTTTCCAGTTGAAGCAGCTTTGTGGGAATGCTTACTTCACACAGATGAGAGTCAAGGACGAGCGGAACATCAGTGCCATCACCTGGAAGTTCAGTTTGTACCTGTAACAGATGACGCACAGCAGAATGAGTCCCATCACTGTGACAGAACAAAGATTTGTAAGATACAACCATAACAACAGCTGATGTAAAGTGACCGTACCTGTGGATGTGGGTCTTTACAGTCAAAGACGAAAACTCAACAGTTTACACACAAGAGGAGAATGAAATGCTTCCCTCTCCTCTGTTCATCCTCTCTTTTATCAGGACAGCTGCAGGCACAACCCTGACTGAATCACAGGATCAATAACCACTGATCAATCACCACAAGGAGGCAGGGCAGACTCAGCGGCAGCAAATGATTCTGTTGTGTAATCCCACAAAAACATAGTACATTTATGTACATATTTATAATTTAAGTAGGAGTACTGACAAAAGCCCACCATTAAAATTCACATAGATGTGGATTTAGTAAGAGGAAATATAAAATCATGAATCATTTTTATTATTATTGTTTCAATGGTTTCTCACTTGTGTGTTATGTTGTGCATGTCTACGTGTGAGTGCACAAATTGACACTGAACTACGTGTTGTTTTGCTTCAGCTTTAATTTTTCTGGACTTGATCCAATCTGTTTTCTCAGCGTCTCTGTTTTACATCCAGGTGTTGTGCCTGAAGCAAAAGAGATGGTTAGCACTCCTTTCAATTAGTGCAACGTATTTGAATTGTGACGTTTCTCTTCTCTTCTTCCCTCACAGGCAACAGGACAACCGTACGAACAATACGCCAAGATGATTTTCATGGAACTAAATGACGCCTGGTCAGAATTTGACAGCCAAGGACAAAAACCTCTTTACTGAGTAAACAGAGAGGGGAAATGAACGAGGAGGAGGATTCATCTCATCCTTAAAAAATAAGTCAACATACGACAGCCACATCCTGCAACATCTGCCTTTATACCTGTGCTTTGACCCGTACTTCTGTTCTTACCACACAAACGCAGAGGAGCCAAGTTGATCTGCAGAGATTACAGAGCGAACAGTGCTCGGACCAACGGTGCAACTGGACAAATGACCCCCCCCCGCCCCGGTAGCCCTTATACCTACCTACTGTATGTATGTGGTGCAACAGTGTCCTTCCTCAATGTTGAGTGTCCTCACCCCTGAACCAAACCACTAATCAAAGCAGAGTCACCGAGGTGGCTAGAAAAACAGAGCAATGTCTGATTCTGAGGAGACGGAGATGAAAACCAAGACGAAGGACGCGCTAGATAAGAGAAGAACTCATCAGGGAGTGAACAAGCATTTCACAGACCAGGTCGTCTGTAAGCCACAACAGGCATTTACCCATAATTCACTCCGACCTTCTGCCCATAAAAAGTAGATTTTCTTTTTCATTCGTGTGAAAGTTGGAACCATGATCAGTTCTGTTAAATCTAATCAAGTCTCTCATGCATCTGAATGTTCCTTCGAATGAGAGAAGCAGCATCTAATTACTGTACATTCTCAACTGACAAGTGAAGCCAAATGTGTTTTCCATCCAAAATGAGTTGTTTGGAGGAAGGAAATAACAATAAACACTAATTTATGAAGCGTTACGGCTTCGAGAAGGAAATAAAGCAACAGACTAATTCAAAAATATTAACATTACATAAAATGAAACAAGACAGAAAAATGCTAAAATTTCAGTTCCTGGTTTAATGTTCTTACAACAGGAGAGCTGCGCATCACTGCTGCGGCTGATGTAATCAAGGCTCGCGTGTTTCTGTATTTGCAGGGAAGTGGGGATTGTATATTTTAGGATTAGCACATGTACAGTTCCAGACACGAAGCACCCCGAGGCCTCTTGCATATACTCGCTTGTACAGTAACATATTTCTGCAAAAGGGAGCTCAGTGAAAGCACAAACTGACGAAGGGAAGCCAGTGTCTATTTATTTATTAGCTCATTTTGTTCATCTTCATTGTGTCGTTTTTGTTGTTGTCGTTACGAGAAAGAGTTTTTGGGACGTGAAGTTGAAGTCACACTGTAAACTGATTGACTATACAACAGGTTTTGTGTTTATGGTATTTTAATGTCTGCAATATCTTTTTACAATTTACAGAGATGATGCTAATGTGCGTAAAAAAACTACAACACTTTCTGTCGCCCCCACAAACTCACTACAGCTCAACACAAGGAATGATTGATTTTACAGAAATAACTGTAGGTTCATTCTCTCATTGGATCATGTGTGAATTGTGTTGACTGACTGAGAGATATTTGTTTTCTTTTAAAGATTTATTTATTTATTTTATTTAGATAGGAGAGACATTTCTGTCACAGCACAGGCACTTAATAATACAGATCATCATTTCATATCAGCCAGAAGGTAGAGCACAATTATCAGCGTCTTTCTGTAGAACGTATTCCTCCTCTGTGTGATGGTTTCATGTCTTTTGGTCCATGTTTTAGGGAAAACTTACCCGTGACTCGATTGGTGCCATTTACAAACATGCAAAAACTAAAACGTGTATTTATTTATTAGCAATGGAGCAATTGTAATTTAATTTTTTAGGGTTTGAGGTATTTACAGTTATCTTTCCACATTCATCTTTGTGCTACTTTACTGTGAAATCCAGCTGTTTTATTCTGACACTTGATCCAATCCATCCATTTTAACACATTCAAATCATGAACCTTTTAAGTGCTTTACATCAGTTGTCTGCTTGTCTTTTGTTCATCATAACATATTTTATCTTTTACTGGAATTCGTTCTTTCCCAGTTTGTTCATCTGCTTCCAGGGTGTTGACTGAATACAAGAGTTTGCCATGAAGCACTGTTTCTTCACCTGGACCCAGACCGGATTTAATAACTGGAGGAATAATTGTGTCTCGACTGACCGAAAAGGACATTGGGTCTCAGGTTGAAAACACTGAACTCTGACCTCGAGGCTCCTGCTTCCTTTGGTGACACACCAGTCACAGGAAGTGTGCGGTATGTGCTCTGTTCACACCGAGGACCTACATGTGAAATAACCCTCATACGCTCCCTCGCCGACCGACTTCTCCACCTGCAGAATCTTATGGATATGTTAAAAAGGCTAACCTCTGTGTCGTAGTCGATGAATGTGTGTCGTGTGAAGTTGTGGTACGTATGAAAGTGATCAGGATTGAATACAGACGACTCTAGGTCATATGTTTTGCCTGTCTGATGTTCAAGTATTACTAAATTGTGTAAAACAAAAAAAAGAAAAAATATTCTGTTCAAGTGTTCTGTTTACGGTTACAGGATGTACATAATGATCAAGTGCAGTGCACAGGAATAAATAGTAAACAGGAAAACGAGGAGGAGAGCAGCGTCCATCACTTTCTATGTGTTTTTTCAGAGGGGATGTCGGGTTTAAAACAGGAGGCAGCAAAGATGTAGTTTGTCCTGTTGAACACTAGAGAGCAGCAGCATGTAAAACATGTAAACTACACTGGCACTGGGTCAGCTGACACATGCTGATTGGGAAAGTAATCAGATCCAGACTGCAGTAAAAGTGCCAGCACAGTAATGTTACTCGTAAAAAAAAGTGTTTCTCATAAAAAGTTTCTTTAAGTATGAAAGTAAAAGCTGTAGAAACTTTCCCCTGACTGATACTGTAAATCACATTATACATATATCATGGGTGCATCAATTGCTATATAAACCATTTTAGCTGGTTGAGGTAGATTTAACTACTTTATATAAACACACTCTAAAGATTCATAATGTTAAGATTATATAGGACAACCTCAAAACCCTGCAGTGCTGAATGTACTGAAAGCTTGATGCACAGATTTAAGTTAACAATCCCTCTAACAACACAAAGCTGTTGTTCACTGCTCGTGCTGGGCTCTGCTCATATGGGACCAATTACACGTTTGATAAGTTTTCCTTTCAGGCCCAGATCCGGGAAAATCAAGACTGCATTGTCAGTGTCTGAGTATCCAGAAGGAAATTTAGGGTAATTGAAAATAAGTCCCTCCATCGGTGATTCAGGTTACTGCTGCCCTCTTCAGTTTTTCCCTCCGCTAACTCACTCTGCTGACGTACTTCCTGTGAGCGATCCAGGGCTGACTGATGCCGACCATTAGCACAGGCTGATGTTTTCTTTACATGATATCCGGCACAATCGGGCATATCTTGTCTTGTAGGTGTCAACCTGTTACAAACACACAGAGTTTCAAATAAACATGAAGATGCCAGAGGGACCAGAAACAGTATGTGCAGAGGGGTAAATGAAATATGGAGAAAATTATTCAGGGACGATACCACAAAGGCTCAAAGTCATCACTGCAAATAGCCGTAGATTTTATGCATATCGACATAATAATGAAGATAGATAATATAATATACAAATAATCAATTGCAATCTACATGAAGGAGTCCGACAGGTCTGAGCAGGGTCGGAGAGAGAAGCTGTGAAGTTGGAAGGTGAATAAATGAAAACTCTCACTCGGACAGCAGGAGATGAGCGGATAGAAGATCTCCTGCTGCATCCACCTGCAACTGTAACTGCGTGATTTTCTGTGAAAGATCTGAAAATCAGTTTGTGGTGGAAATTTATCTCAAGATGTGAAATAAAGAGTTTGTCAGACCGGAGTTGTCTTGAGGTTGATTGTCTAGAGGGTTTCACACTCAGCATGAATGCTCAGAGTGGAACAACTCTGAATGGGGAAAGAAGAAGGTTGTATACAGTCAGGTAAACAGGAAACATAAGAGAAAACTGTTTTTGAGTATATAGCATGAAAAACTGAAGCCACCTGTCGTCTAGTTGAAACAGGAAGCTGTCTTCTTTTGCTTCTGTATGAAAGAAGTTTGCTACTGTCCAGATCAGGGTCAACAAGAGGATCATCATCAAGAAAGGACATGAACTCTGAGGTTGCATCTGCTAAGTGCATAGCAACAGTCATGGCATTGGATAGTTAAGGGTAAAACAATAAAAGGTGTCCGTCTAGTTTCGAATCGTCCACCTACACGTACGCCACACTGTTCCTCTCATGCAAGCACAATTGTGTTTCTATATAAGTTGATCAGACATAGGAAAGAGTTCAAGCTAAGGTCATATGGAAGTTTTCCATTACAAGTTCATGTACTGTGCTCAAGTCAACATCAATAAATGTGTATTTAAAAAAAAAGTCTTGCTGTGTGAGGACACTAGATGAGAAATATTCATGTGCCCAGAGAGGATGTTCCTCAAGTCTGGGAACTTCCTTTTTTTAGAAACAAAAAGCACATTTTCACACGCCCTCCCCAGTGGATAGAGAAATACTCTTTGATTAGCTGATAGTTATTTTGGTTGGTATGTATTTTTGTCTCAGTTCAGGGGGTTGCATCCTTCCGAGGCTGCACCTGAAGACCGATTGCATCACAGCCGCTCGTCAGGCTGTGACATTTCGAAGGCTCCTTCAAGTGCAGGCCGACAAATGCCAGAGAAATAAAGGCCCCAACTGTTGGATCCTGTTGGAGCCTGGATTCATCGGGCGACAGTGACAGAGCAAGCTGGTGGAGCTGGAATTAAAATCAGGGGCATTATATTTTTATAGCAAAATTTCCCAGCGATCCCCTCCCATAATTGAGGAGATAATTAGTTCTGCAAAAAAACGAACAAAAAGGTCAAAGTAATGTTTACAAGCACCAAAGTTGGAGAACAGTGTAAAATCCACTTCTTCTGATTACTGTTGCCAAATATAATCATAATCATGGTTATAATGAGACAGGCGAGTTCAGAGAGGAGCCGATGGCCGGATGTTTTCGTCCGTGACCTGTGCTCTCTGCTAATCACTGACATGCAGAACCACCATCGAAATGCAGCCATTAGAGACTCAGAGATGTCAGTGCTCATGCACTCATTACATTCTCAAGGATCTTTATTTGTGAGTGAAGGGGGAACATGTGGATTAAGTGAAAAGAGGCACATATCAGAGAAGATGCCGAGGGTCAATGTGGTTTTAGGGAATATTAATGGATTTTTAGAGAGCTATGGTTTGAATTTACATAAAGTGAAGAGATGCATTCTATGTCTCTTATTCTGCCGGAGACGAACTGTTTCTTTATCGTTGTTTTATGAAAAAAAAATAGTTTTCATTTCTGCAGCTCTTTTTGTGCAAAATCATCCACTTATACTGTAGATTTATTGTGAATATTTCTACACAATACACCTCATCATTGACAGCTCTGACTTCCTGCTCATGAATCTTCTGAACATTTCACTACTTGTCCAAAAGCTTGTGAAGTAATAATGAAAAAAAGGCTGTTGAGTGTGTGTGGGTGTGTTTTGCACATTTGTGCATATTTCACACAGGAAGCAGAACCAGAAAATTTGATTTCGCTTCAATATTATCTGTTCACATTCCTCACTCTATTGCTGCTCTGACAGAGGAGAACAAGTCATTGAACTTTATCTTCCTCTACAATAACAGATACTTGGTGTTAAAAGAAGGAAATTGTTTATCTAGACTTTTTTTTTTTGCTTTTAAAAAAAAACACTGAAGATAGGAAATTTCATTTTATTGTTGTCACAAACTAACCAGAACAGAACTCAGCAGAGCCGATACTAGGTCGTTTTTGCATAATCCTGACAAACCAACTAACCCACAAATAAAAAGAGATTAAAACACGACCCCCTCAGTGGAAATATGTTCAAATGTCCATTTGCTTTTGCATTAAAATACAAGCTCAAATGTCAGAAGGGTCAAGTTGTTGTGATGTAAGATTGAAGATTTCAGACGGTTCTTCTGTCAGTGCCATGCAGGTCAACTTCCCCACTCTGCTGTGGACAGCACACTTGTTTTCTTACTGGCAGGTTAAAAATAGTAGCCTCCCCCCCTCTGGCCTTGCTGCTTTGCATCCAAGTGTGAACTGCAGCTGTGATGGAAACTAATAATGGCACCAGAATAATAACATTTACAGGCATTTAAAAGCTGATTTTATAATAGGATGGCTGTTGTTGAGGGGTTGTTGCTATATTCTTATTGAAGCTATTCTTTGCTGCCTCTTTGGGATCGATCGGATTATCACCTCCTTTGCAGGTGCAGCTGCAGCTGGTGACTCACTGGTCGGGATGATGGAAGTTTAATCTTTGGTTTATGTATCAAACTGCAACCCTTTACTTTAATCAAGCTGCACGAAATTGCAAATACTCAGATATCACTCCTCTTAATAGGTCAGTTTTTTTCCCCATAAAAATCCATCGATTATTTTCTAGGAATTTTGTGAAAATATAAACATTTCACAACATTAAAGAAAGTGGAAAAATAATTCCTGGATCCAACCCTTTGTCTTAATCTGCACCAAAATGAATTGTCGATTGTTGGCTTTTTTGGTTCATGTCCCATCCCTTCCACAAGTTTAATAAAAAATAGTTCTATAGTTTTTATCTAATCCTACTGACCAACCAACAAACCCAGCTAGAAGGTCGGGGTCTCCCTGTGTTTTCTCCAGCTTCCTCAGACATTTCAAGGACATGAACATTGGGTTTACGTTCATTGGAGACTTTGACCATTAGTGTGAATGTGAGGGTGAACGGACGTTTGTCTCGTGTGATACGCTGGAGACCTGTCGTGGTTGTACACCGCATCTCGCCCAGTGTCATCTGTGAGTTCCCCCCTGTGACCCTCGAGGGAAAAGCCCTGTAGTAAAAATGGACTGAAATGCTCCAAACAAACATGGTTTGTTTTTGCATTTGAAACAAGATAACATCATGTTATAGAGTTTTATTTTCTCCCTCATCTCGCTGATGTAGTGAGTCCGATCCCAGAGTTTGTTGGGACCTGGTCTGGATCCCTGTTGTTCAGGGAATGGTGCAACATTGTAACCAAAAGGAATCTGTTGGCAAGAGTGCGTCATAGGAATTATGGGATCAGATATCACACACACACACACACACACACACACACACACACACACACACACACAC